TTTGAAATGGAATTTATCAGAGAAGAAGAAAAACATCGCACTGAGCAACTTTTTAAACTGAGGAAAAAGAAATAACAACCAAACACTGACTTGGATTCTTCAGAAAAACAAAAGCATGTGATCTCTGCTGCAGCTTTAAAGGGTTCATCCTTTAAAGTCACAGAGGAAACGAGCTGACCAGCGCTGACCAGGTGAAGCTCCTTTAAAAAGGAGGACGACGTCCCGTTAGTTTACTCCAGCGGTCGACTCCGAGGTGAAGGTGATGGTGGTAACGATGATGAAGGAGATGGTTGTGTTGCATGTGTCTTTTTGTGTGAGTACGTATTTGAGACAGACTTCTCTCTAGCAGTGCTCCAGATAGTCAATGACCCGGGAGATGGACTTCTGTCCTGTGGTGCCGACGTCACACTGCAGAGAGGAAGCAGGGGTCAGTCATGAACGAACACAACTGGAAAATTAGACGTGCAGATCGTTTCTTTCTTACCATTTCAACAAACTCACTGCTCGTTTTTTATTTAAATCACAGATTTTACTCTTGAACAAACTTGTCTGATAATCGTCGTTGAATAATGAGCATTTCCTCTCATTAGTCTGCGTCTGACAGACGTCGGGCAGAGAGCAGCACGGGGCAGATGAAGGATGACGTCAAACACTAATCAGAATCTATCAGTTTGATATTGTGGAGCGAGTTTCAGTGTTGCGTTAGTCTGGACTTACAGCAGCCTCACGTCCACCTTTGTGAAACAGTGACTACATTTCTCAGCAACAGCTGTGATAGTTCTGCTCGGAGGTAATGATGATGTATAAACACATTATGTTGAACAAGCAAATGCTGGAATTGTAGCTAATGTGTCCATTAATGTAACACATAACAGCCAGTACGCTGTCAGAGGAAATGTGCGCCGTTTTTATGGCCTTCACAGTGAAAACAAGCGGAGACGTAGCTTCATTCATAAAAACAAAGCCAGTTCCGAAGTGCCTAAAAACCTGCATTCTATCTGATGACCACCAGATGGCGATA